AAACTTAGTTTTTTTGTCATCTAAAAAGACCCATTTAAGTGTGGAAACAAAGTACTGAAATTATAAGTGTGGTAATAAAATATTAAAATTAACTTTTAAAAGTAATAAAGGTAAATATCCTATTCAGGATTCAAAAAACTTTCAGTGCCATTAAAATCTCAGCTTTGAATACAACTTTGTCATAATTTCAGAATTGATGGCTATATAAAGAAAAAAAACAAGAGTACCACACACAACACATTACACACTCGTCGACGAACTATACTACAGCTATTTATTGACCTTATTCCTAAGTCCCATGATGCTTTGCGTGAATTTTGTGTGCGACTTCTGGTGTGGACCAAAACCGGCGTTTGTTTATGTGAGATCAGTACAAGCAAATGTAGTTTCTCCGAGCATTTTTAAGAACAAGGGTGATGTACAGAGTTGTAGCAACTACAGGGGAATTAAGTTGATGAGCCACACGAAGATCTGGGAGAGAGTTGTGGAAGAAAGACTTAGATGAGAGGTGACTATCTGTGAGCAGCAGTATGGTTTCATGCCAAGAAAGAGCACCACAGATGACATCTTTGCTTTGAGAATGCTGATGGAGAAGTACAGAGAGGGTCAGAAAGAACTCCATTGTGTCTTTGTGGATGTAGAAAAAGCATATGACAGAGTGCCAAGAGAGGATGTGTGGTATTGCATGAGGAAATCTGGAGTGGCAGAAAAGTATGTAGACTGGTACAGGACATGTATGAGGACAGCAGGACAGTGGTGAGATGTGATGTAGGAGTGACAGTTTCAAGGTGGAGGTGGGAGTGCATCAAGGATCGGCTCTGAGCCCCTTCTTGTTTGCTCTGGTGATGGACCTACTAACAGATGAGGTCAGGCAAGAATCCCCATGGACGATGATGTTTGCAGATGATGTGATCTGTGGTGAAAATAGGGAACAGGTGGAAGAGAACTTGGAGAGGTGGAGGTACACACGTGAAAGAAGAGGAATGAAAGTCAGCTGTAGTAAGACAGAGTACGTGTGTGAATGAGAGGGAGACAGGTGGAACAGTGAGGCTAAGGAGCAGACGTCACAAAGGTGCAGGACTTCAAGTATTTGGGGTCCACTGTCCAGGAAAATGGGGAATGTGGTAAAGAAGTGAAAAAGAGAGTCCAGGCAGGATAGAGTGGATGGAGAAAAGTTTCAGGAGTGATTTGTGACAAAAAGGGGTCAGTGAAGGTCAAAGAAAAAGTTTACAAGACAGTGGTGAGACCAGCTGTGTTGTATGGTCTGGAGACAGTGGCATTGAGAAAAAGACAGGAGAAATAACTGGAAGTGGAAGAAATGAAGATGCTAAGGTTCTCCTTAGGAGTGACAAGGCTGGATAATATTAGGAATGAGATCGTCAGAGGTACAGCACAGGTTGAACAACTGGGAGATAAAGTTAGGGAGGCCAGACTGAGAAGGTTTGGACATGTCAAGAGGACGGACCAGTTAGAGAGGACATGAAGGTAGTTGGAGTGAGGACAGAGGATACAGAGGACAGAGTGAGATGGAGGAGTATGACTCGCTGTGGCGACTCCTGAAGAGGGAAAAGCCGAAAGAAGATGATTGTGGATTTAATTTAAACACCACCTGTCAGAGCTCAAACAGGACAATATAATCAAACTGCTGCTTACTGCAGATGAGGGCTGGGAGGACGAGCTGAGGAAGTGGCTGCAGATTACATCTACTAGCATATTTAGCTACTTCATTGACTTGGTTGCTTCCGACAGTGAAGCGAAGAACAACCTGAAAAGCTCTGAGGTGTTTTAGTATCTACACAGTAACAAGATCGGTGGCATTTCCCTTAGATCCTTAGAGAACGTTACTACTGTAATTTCTGGACTATTGATCGCACCTGAAATCAAACCACACCTGCTAAATTTTAAATGAAAATCAAAATTTTACATCAATAGGCCGCACTTGTCTATAAGCCACGGGTGTTCATGTTGTAACATGAAACATTTACACAAAGTTTTTTTTTTTTTTTTTTACTTTTAATTAAATATGCACCGGTAACATGCACAAATACAGTGAGAGAGACATGTATTGGGCGTTATGTGAACACCTGGGTTCGACTAAGCTAAATATTTTGCTGGCATGAAGCTCGTTAGCCCATTAAAAAAAAAAAACATAAATTTGCCATAGCATTGTATAAGCCACGGTGTTCAAAGCATGTGAAAAAGTAGCAGCTTTTAGTCCGGAAATTACAGTAGATGGCTTTTCTATATATGCGAATGTTCCTGTAAAGTGCCCTGAGAAACTTTGTTGTGATAGGACGCTATATAAATAAATTGAATTGAATTTTGTTAAGAGATGGAACACAATCTTATTTCCCTTAAAGCAGACACAGAGTCCAGCCAAAGCTTTAAAGTACTCCAATCACCAAGCCTGGGTTGATTGCAGAGAAAATCGTAAAACTGAAGACGAACAAACACTATAATGCTGTGACCTCCATACACTTGAAATCATAACATATATTCTCGTCACACTGTTTTCAGTCCTTCTGAGGATCCGGCGTCTCTTCTCCTGTGGTTTATCATAGCCCAGCCACAAAGTAGGATGTAGGTTTTTCTTCATCGGCCATTTGTCAACAAAGTGAAATGAGCACACGTACAGCGTTTTGCGTGGTCTCAAGTTCACATTTTTCCGCCACATTCTTCTTAAGTCCTCATCTGTAGGTAAGACGATAGAAACTATACCGCTTTTCACAGGAACTTTGCTTTGGGTACGTGTTCAAAACACTGTTGTAGCCACAAATTTAGTTTGGTCTGGTTGTTCGTGCAGCCACAAACAGCACAGCAGGAAGTAAACTTTAAGGTTATTAAACAAATGTGAACAAAACCAAAACTGTGTTTTATCTGCTAAACTGAATGCAAATAACTTTCAAATAAACCGTGGTCCGTTATGATTGGTCAATGTTTACTGCTACTTCCTGTGTCTGACAGGAAGTTGTACACGCCATCATTTCTACAGTAGCCCCCAGGAATAAGGTGGGTTACACAGTAGCAGTGACTGGGACAAGCAAAGACCTTGTATAACCTTTTACCTTGATATGTGACCTTGGTCTGGGGTGATGAAAAGATTTGGCGACATGATGTCTAGTGGTACAAATATGTTTTGTTAAAATATCTAGAGCAAATCAGAAGTTTTGACTTGACAAGCTAAGACCTTGTATAACATAAGACCTCTATTTGTGACACCGACCTTGAAGCTGAGGTGATAAAAGTTTACGTGACACTGTGTAGTGAAGATATGTGTAAGTAGTTTCAGTAAATTATCTTGAGTGGATCAAAAGTTATGGGCACGACAAGAGAAAGTTTACGGATAGACGTACTGTACAGAGATTATACCATAACACGTCGCCTTTAACAGGCATATTAAATACAAAATTTTAAAGAAACTAAAGATCTTCATTTTTGGAAATCGCCTCCCTGAAAGTTACCATCTCTGTTCAGTTCCCTTCTCTTTAAAAGATTCCATGAAAAGGAGTTTCTATACACCCACGCAGTTTGTCCCACCTGTTTGTGCTCACACTCCTTAGAACAGAAAAAAGGTGACAGCTGAACTCGTGTATGTTTTAGCATTTAGCAAAAACCAAGGGAAGGCAAAATGTCGATCTTGGTAAAAATAGTTCCCTTTGTCAGGAAATACAGACAAAGGTTTATTTTCAGGTAAGATTGTCCACTGTCCTCTCAAACCCAGCAGGTCAAAGCAGATGGCCACTCGTCCTGAGCCTGGTTCTGCTGGAGGTTTCTTCCTGTTAAAAGTTTTTCCTTTCCACTGTTGCCATTGTGCTTACTCAGGATGGGAGAGAGCAACAAAGTGAAGATTCAAGAAGTCTGCTGGCTTCCTTAAAGAACTTTACTAATTGGCTTTGCTATGTATGTGAATGTTTCTGTAAAGTGCACCGAGACAACTTTGTTGTGAATTGGCGCTATAGAAATAAACTGAATTGATATTTTGATTGAACCAACAAAACTCTGGAGTGTTTGCTCCTCTTAAGAGCTGATGTATCTTTAATTGTCAAAACTATTCATTTAACAAACTTTTCTTTGCGTAATCAAAACTACCACAGTTACAGAAAATTTATACTGAAAACATACACATGATGTAAGAGAAAGCAAGAAATTTACTTTCACTTAACCTACTGAAGCCAAATGGCTTAAAAGTAACAAGTAAATGTAACGACTATAAACTGTAAAGGTCAATTAAAACAGGAAAAAACATTTTAAGAAGCATAGTGTGTACCAATAAATACTAAAAGTGTTGAGGAAAACCGATGTTCACAGGCTACACTAAAACCGAATGTGTGCAAAAACAATGCCACAACATCATTTAATTTATAAAGCACCTAAAACTTAATTCAACACAAAATAAAAAAAATTAAAAAAACATAGTAAGTTAACTGATTTTAGTAAAACTGTAAACAAAAGCCCCTTTCACAAAACGGTTTTGCAGTTTTTCTTCAAAGACGAGCTCTTTCAAGTCCCCTCTGATGGTTTATAAATTACCAAATGAGCCGGGCACGTTCTGCAACAACGCAACAATTTGAGCTTTCACAAATGAAGCTGACATTGCGGGACAACAGGAGGCACAAAATACAAGCTGCACCGACGTGAGACACTATGCATACATGATGGACGCATCCCCGCCTAAATCTCACAGCAAGCTGGTCGCACAGTCTGTCTTCATTACATCACATCCTTGAGATACAATGCTAGCTTACACATACTGACCTTTGCAGCCAAGTGACTACCTCCCTTGGTGGCTCAGAGATATAACACCGAAGGTTTGACTTCATAAATCAAACCCGAGACGAGAAGACAACGTCTCAGGTGCAGCTTGAAGTGTTTTGTGAAAGGGGTTACTAGAACATTGTTGTCAGAAAAACAGAACAAGATCTCTAAAGGAACACAGTATTTCTTTCAGACAACGTGTTCCAAAAACACGAGATAAATAACTAAAACCATGATAAATGCTCTGAGCTGAGATTTCACATTACTATTGCTATCATAAATTCTTCTTGTATCTGACGAGTTTCACCTAAAACTAATCTGTATGTTGCCGCATGATTGGAAGGCACCAATTGATGAAAAGTTGAGTTCAGTGGCTCTGGTTTCACTCCTGAATGTCAGAAACAAAACCATCAATATGAAGACTGAAAGGAAAAAAAAGATTGAAAGAAAACTGGTGTAGTCACGAGACAGACTCTTGTACGTCCACTTGTTTGGCATCAAAAGTGTCAGTTTTAAAGCCCGTCTCACTTTTCTGTTAAACGTTGGAGTAATGCTAGCAACAGTGGGAGAGTTCAAGAGTCTATGATGGTGTCTTTAAAGACAAACGTCTTAACAATTCTCCTCACACAGGCAGGAGTCTGACGAGATCAGAGCTCATCGTGGTTCTTGGTTAGATCTTCTCCATAGTTGGTGGCCTGACTTCCTACAAACATGTTCCAGTTCTCAAGAATCTCCTCTTTGGTCAGCTTCTGATCCTGATGAGGAAACAAGGAAGTAATCAGCCATTGTAGGAACACATGCAACAAGTACTAAAAGTTTAATTCATGATGTCAGAGGATTCTAGTCAGAGGTTATGGAGTTATGGATATATTACTACTAGCGTTCTTTCCCTTAAAACAAACAACCAAGTTGTCTCTCCAGTTATCTCTTATCCTGCATCTGTGAAGGCCATGTGAGACTACAGCTGGCTTCGAGGACACCCCACTGAAACCTTATCAAGCTGATGGGGATATAAAAGGCGAGCGGATAATACAGCATTTGCAGATCATTGCGACCGGGCTTCATGTGTATACATTTAACACATTTGATATGAACTGTTACAATATCTGTCCTTGCAAGTAAAACTGTGCTGGAGATAAATCTTCACCTGCTGTTTGTGAGAGTGGTTCATTTGAGTAATCATTTAGAGCGTTTTCCTCCAACAGATGATTTTGGTTAAAATGTGTTTATTTATATAATTTGTGGTGTCACACAGAGGCAGTGCTCAATTCTTTATTTTTGTTACAAAAACCTCAAAATAATCCAAAGAACAAAAACAAAGCACACTTCATGTGGACAAGACCTTACGAGACGACATGAATTGGATCTTACCTTGTCCTGGTCAGACTCGTACACAAGATGTCTGGCCTCAGCCTGAGCGTGGTCGTAATCCTCAGGCATGATCCAGTGTCGGATCTCGTCCTGGTCCATCTTCCCATCTTTGTTCAAGTCTCTGAAGTCAGAGAATTGTTCTCTTTCAGTCTTGACCCAGTCTGGTTCTGGACCGCCATCCTCGTGCGCAAACATGTCAGCTTCAACCAGACCAACATTTAGGTTAAAAGTAATTTTAAGACAAGCACAAACACATTTATTTACACTAGTCATATTTATAAATGGTTTCTTCTAATTTCACAGAGGTTTATCACTCAAATGCTTTCAGTGCTGCTACAACTGACTTCTCTATAACCTGTTTACTTAAGATAATTTAATTTATCTTAATCTGTAAACTCACCAATGTACTCGTCCTCATCCACATGTCCATCGCTGTTCTTGTCAATGTCCTCCAGCGTTTCCTGCATTCAAAACAAGTTAATGATGTGATTAAAAAGAAGGCAATAGGGTCAAGTGAAGTCAAATTTCCACTGTGAGTAGTTAAAGAGAAACATGTTGCCCAAGGCTTTATAAGTGAATAAATGTGCGAGCGTCGACTTACAGCCGAACTGGCAGACTGACACAACAATTACAGTCTTAATGATGAGAGCTAAACCCTCTGCATTAAAACACAAAGTACATTTTGTAGTAAACAACTAGAGAATGAAGCTTCTATAGTTTAATAGCCCACTATTAACAAGCAAAACAGACATTTTCCAAACCCACTTAATCCCATGCAGGACTGCATGTAAATAAAAGATGCTCACTGCTGTGAAACATTATACACAAATGTTTTGTACCATTTTTAAGACTACAAAAGGGCCAACACAATCATTACAGTTTACACATGGCCACATATATATATTTAAGAAGATCACCACTTTTAAATTAAAATATTACCCAATAAAAAATAAGAGCACGTGATTAAATAAATAAGGTTGGTCACAACAGCTTAGGGCTGTACATGGCCGTAAAATATTTGACTTTCTGAATAGACTCACTTGATGCTCACACCTGATTTGGATAGTAGTTGAGATGCTAAAACACAGTGTTGTAAGCATTGTGATGACTCGGCAGAAAGAAGAGTGAAAAATGAGTGCATTTATGGCATCTAATATGGTCAATGCAATATTCAACCATAATATGGCAATCCCAGCTATTTAAAAAAAAAATCTTGTGCAGCCTTAGAACAAATTATTTTGTTATTTTTGGATTGTTCTGTAAAATATTTGCCTCAAAACACCTTTCTGATGCAAAAAAGTAACGTTAAATGTCCTATTTAATTCACAGATATCTAGTTTACTATTAATAATGAGGCATTAAATCTCTATATTACAGAATTCAAGCAGGAAATGTAATGCATCCCCCCCCCCACAACAATCAAAAAGTCAAACTTACAACTGAAACAAACAAAAAAAGTCTGCTGCATTACTCTGAATTACAAAAGTCACAATTAAAAGTCAGTGTTTGTCAGCTGTAGTAAGACAGTTCTGCAAAGGGATGAGAAGAGTGACTCTTGGCATTTCCTGGTTACAAACAACTCATTTAAAGGCTATTAAAAACAATAAGATCATAAAAGAATGGCCACTTTCATTTAGTTAACTTTGACTTAGAAGAATAATCAGTGCTTTATCACATTCGTACACCGATGGGACATGCATCAGAGGCAATGGGGGTTCAGTGTCTTGCCCAAGGACACTTTGGCATGTGACTGCTGGTGGAATCGAACCCCCAAGTCTTGCAGTGGAGGACGACTGCTCTAACTACTCAGCCAGCTGCCCCCTACAAAGAAAAACCATATACCTTACTTTAAGGTTGTTTTTTTTGTCCTGAGAGTTTGGTTGACAACTCTTGACCCAAACTTTACATCTATTTAAACTGAAGTAAACATTTGTTTGTTACAAGATTATTGTGCTGCTTTCATTCGTTTTAATTTCATATCTGAACCCATAAATGAGATCAAGAAAAACTGACTCGTCTGTAAATTTGCCCCCTCTCCGTGTGTACTGACTTGAACATCTTTGACCTCTGAGCATAAATACTGAGGCAAAAATAAGAAAACCTCAGCAGGTAGAAATGTGAATTTAAACATTTAAACAGCAGGCTCTGTTACGTGAATGTGTGTGGATGTATAGTTAGCACTTAGGGGGGGTTGGGGGCTTTATGGTCCTGCCTGAACCTGCACAAAATCCATATTCTCATAATGACAACAAGCATCATTATGTACTCATTTGTGCATTCATGTGAGGAAGATGTAGATACTTTGGGAAAAAAACTGACTACATCTATATCAACTTTAAAGTTTCTAGCCTGTAGCTGTTGTGTTAGCTTCAGCCACAATCAGTGAAAACACCACTGACTGAGCAGTTCTTTGGTAACATTCAGCAAATACAAAAATGAGATTAATAATTAACTTCGCCAAATGGGTGGTACAACTTTTATGAACGCAGCAGCATAAAGCATCACTGCTAACATTTACCATGCCAGTCAGCCTCAAAACCAAATTTATATTTAAAGACCGAGTCCTACATGGGCCAGTCAGCCAGTCGTCCCATTGGATCTGCTCCCATAATAAAGACAGAAACTCAATTGTTTCTGGAATGATTAAAATTTCATCAGGAAATTTACAAATGTAGAATGATTTTTTTTTACATGGAGAAAATAAACTGATATAGTTTTCATTATATGATTCAGATTAATTACAGCAAAGACATTACAAAACTGACTTTACATACTGATGCACAGGAAGCTTACCAGAACAACAATGTTCTTCATGTGTTCAAACTCCTCAGGGTGGAGGAAGGCCATGAACTCTTCCTTGTCTGCTGCCAAGTCGCCGTTCAGATCAGCCGTTTTAAACCTCCTTTCATCTCGAGGAAGCATCTTCTTGAAGCTGAACTGGTCTGTGTCACCCTCAAACTCCTCTGGGTTAGCTTAAGAGGGTGGATTAAAACTAGGTTACTAAAAGACTTCAAAATAAGATGTTTAATGCTTTTACCAGAATACTTCAGAATGAGATGGGAGACGAGAAAGAAAAGTAATAGCCGACATGTGGAGCCATACCAAGATAGTATCCATAAGTGGCTTGCTTGTACTCATCCCACGAGATCTTGTTGTCTTTGTTTAGATCATAGTCAGTCCACACCTTTGCAACATTTTCAAACACGTAACGCTTCTGAACACGTTTTATCCAGGCTTTGAGCTCGGCTGTCGTGATGTAGCCATCTGTGTCACCGTCTATCCGGTCTACAATTTTACTGAGAAGGAATAAGAAAAAAAAAGATACAAGTTAACATTCTTCTGTCAATAGAAAGGTGATCATTTTCTGCCTGAATCATTCATATTTGGTCAAACGTGCTTTTCCAACAGGTGGGAGAGCTTATGAGATACTCCAATGGGAGGAGCAGGCAAACCCAATTTAGTAAAAACTGCAGTGTGGCTGTGGCGTATTCTTAGACTTGTTGCCACGTTGGGATGTCTCAGAGGGGTCCTCCCACTCAACACAGCAGGAAGGAGGTTTTTTTTTTATACAATATGTACGACAAAGTGCCAACATGTCACCAAAACCCTTCACACTTTGTGCCAATACAATTTATGACAAGTAGCCTGAGCAACTAGTTTTTTTTAATGAATATCTCACAAAAATAACCATTCAGAAACCATTCAATGTAAACTCAGATATTCATGAGCATGCACATCTTTCTAACCATGGAGTGCTCATGTAAAAATGTACATTCAGTCATTGTAGATACACACGATTCATTCAAGGGGAAACAGTCATAGCAAAGGGCTCAACTAGATCTCAGTGAGTCTCACCTGAGTCTGTCTTTGCTCTCCTCCGGAGTGAGCTGGTCAAACGTTTTGGCCTCCTCTTTACCCAGAAAGACCTCATGGTCGTACTGGTGGCCCTTACCATCGTCGTAGGCTTGTCTGCTCAGCTCTGGATCATGATAAATGACTCTTTCTTTCCTTAAAGTTGGCTTCGCATTTGCTACAAAGGAGCACAGAAGCACCGCACACACTAAGCTAAAGCCAGCCATCAGTCTCTGGGATGAAGCCGACTTCTCTCAGGCCAAACAGGAGCTTCCAAACAGGCCTGTGACACTAAAGCTAGCAAGAGGCAGCGTTAGCCTCCTTAGCGCCGCTACAATAACTTTTTTTTTTCCTTGTTCGTCTGTAAGGTCCAACTAGCAACCCTTCGAAGTGCACCTGCGTCTGAACTGAAACACTAAAATACCTCTTGTCCCTACTTACAAGCAAGCCCGTCCCGTTTCCTGAAAGAAGGACGCAACCAGTTTCTGCCGCTTTACGTACAGCCAATCACAGTGATCGTTTCATGAACGATCCACCCTCGTCCAATCACAGGACCCCTCCTATTGGTCCGCAAGATCTTGGTAACATTAGAGGAGTTCGGGCGCCACGTTGCAAGCTGACTGAGAGGAGAGGAGGGTTTGACGGGTTACCTGTGTCACTACGTGTCCCTGCGTAAAGTCTGTACTGATGCACGTATTAATACACAGATAAAGTATTCAGGCTCCTGTTTCTAAATTCATCTTCCCCTTAAAATCTGACTCACAATGTACCACCTTGGAACCCATAGGATGCACTGAAGACTCATGTCAGTTACATTTTTAGACATAATGGAGTGACTGGATGTGTTTATAATTAACTAAATTCATGTTAGTGGAATTTCCTCTGAGACAGTATCATGTTATGTAGAGTCTATTGTGGCAAAAGCCATGTCTTTATTGTTTGCATCTTGTGCTCCAGCATCAACGTGTGGCATTGATGAGGCTGCAGAAAGGAAAGCTCTGCCAGAGAGTGGTGAAGGCTGCACATAAGACTGTCGGAGTCAGCCTCCCCACCATCACAGACATCTACACAGATGCAGGAAGAGGGCCACCTGCATCATGAAGGACCACACTCACCCATCACACACTTTTTTTGCCCCACTCCCCTCAGGTAGGAGGTTGAAGAGCATTAAGTACAGAACCACTAGACTCAGGAACAGCTTCTACCCTGAAGCTGTTAGACTCATAAATCCCTAACCAGGATAATCACTGTGAATAAAAAAAATCACTGTAGTGCCACTTTAATTGGTGATATGTGACTTATCTTTGCTGCTGATTATCTTATGTTGCTGATTATCTACAAACTCAGGTTCAGGCTGCTGTTGTTATACCATATTGTTTTACATTATTAGTGTTTAGCGTATAGATCTTTTAGCGTACTGTTTGGCATTTGTTTTGCGTATATCTTAGTTTATATATTAGATTCTTATTTACTATTTCTTTTTATACATTATATTTAGCTATTTTTTGGGGTGTAAATGGGACCTTGTTTACATAATTTCATTACATCTCATGTACCACATGAGATGGTAATGACAGTAAAGTTTACTTGAACTTGAACTTAATTATAACTGCTTTTCCTCAAGGGCATGGTCTTGGACAGTGTCACTGATTTAAATTTGATGGTCAGTGGTAAACACATTGAACAAGTTTCAGAAATAAAATATTTTGGTATTGTTCTGGATTCTCAATGAAATATAAATAAAAACATATCAAAGCGGTAAGCCAAAAGCAAACTTGCATACATTTTGATTAATTAGAGAGTGTTTATCATTTCATGCTGCAGTTTTATGCACTCACTGATTTTCTCTCGTTGAAGTTATCATGTAACCTCAAGTAGCAGCTTCAACCATTAAGCCTCAAAGAATGATATATAACAGTGATTTTGGACAGAAAACCCATCAGATCACATCACTGTCAACTTTTCAAGAAACCTAATATGATTACTTAAAAAATGTTAAAAATTCTAATACTGCTCCTATTTTTAACATGTGAAGAGACAAGCTCCTCGGGTGCTCAGTGACCTTCTGGTTCCTATGGGTTCAGACAGTGGGAACTAATATAAGGTTCCTTTTTGTTAAACTTTTTTTCGGGACAAACAGCATTTTTTTGTATGAGGGATTAAGATGGGGGAATTCCCAATCTGCAGATTTGAAATTTATTTCAGACTAAAATCATTTTAGATAACTAAAACTGTTTTGGACTGTGATTAGTTTTATTCTTGTTTATGCATTGCTTATATTTAATTGTTTAAATTATTGTTTATTGCTTATTCTTGTTTAGGCATTTTATTAATTAGTTTAAACAGTTTTTATTTTTATGTTAGACCCATCTGGGGATGTGCATTACAAGTTGACCTAAGCTATAAATGTTGTAGTGTACTTTATTTATTAATACTTAACACGTCCTCATATAAATAAACAATAAATGAAATCCTGTGAAAATGTAAAATATTGTAATGAAAAAAAAAACTTCACCTTGAAGAAGATGGCAAACTGTGGGCTTTAAAAGGTTTAAACTTAACAAAAACATGTAACATTTTAAATATTTTTTTATTTTATATTTCATCCTAATTCATGTCTTGCCTTTTTTTTTTTACCACTTTCTTCAAAAAAAGAATGATTCTAGTTTAGTTCCTGAGAATGAGACCATCCCTTTTGTTAGTGGACAGTATGCGATGAAGTCACAAACACTATAATTATAAATTATACAAAGTAAATAAAATACAGCAGGTCCACTTTTATACAAACTTTAACGTGATACCATATTTTGATGTTAGATGTGTTTGAACAACCAAACAGAAGTCTTCCATTTTACTCCGAATCACAAAGGATTTAAATACATCCCATCAGTTTACTTTAAGCTCACATTCAGACGGATGAACATGTTGCTATTGTATCAAGTTATATTTCACGATAACGGG